AATAAACAATAAAGAAAGAAATAAGCCACAGTACATTGAAAAGAGCCGGAGGCCAAAAATGAAGGTTTGCTAGAAGTTTTGATAGATCTGGTATTGCGTGACTCCTAGTTGAGGTTTCAAAGTCGTCTTTTATTTCTTGAAGCAAATAAAAATAACATGGCTTGGCAAACGATATGTTCGGATAATGTCTTCTTCTGGCATTCCAAATAAATTAATACGTGTGGAAAAAATCCTCTCCCTTGTACCATGCGCTCTCTGTTCTTTGCTTGCCTCCTCTAGAAACAATAAGTGCAGCCATTTCAAGCGCGAAATAGTTTAAAACAAGCTTTTTTTGGCCGTTAAATAATGGCGCAAATGCCAGTAATTTGACAAGCGCAAACGTTAGTAAAACGCGTTGCGTGATTCATTTAAATATTCTCCTCCCATAACTTTTGTGTCTGAAAGAGAAACTCCTAAAAATGCATATTCAATAAGGTTAGGCACAAAAATAACGGTCCACGCCTTTTCAGCGCTAATATGTCACCGTGCATCTTTAGTAAAACCTGACAGTAGGCCTACAAATTTAACGCCAAAAGACGGTTTGCGCTGGCTCAAGCTGTTAGTAAAACTGGCCCTTAATGTGATGCATGTTTGCCAGTCACACTTAAATGAAACGGGTCAAATTTCTGTAATAGTACTAATAAACTTATTGTAAATACACAATAACTAGGTTTATATGTTTATCATTAATCAATCAAATTCGTTCAGTTCTCATATACATTTTAACTAAGCGAATATTGTGTGTTCCATATTTTAGCCATATACATACTTCTTAAATAAACATATGCAATTCATTTCACAATGAAAATATTTATGGTAATTCAAAGTGCATTTTGTGCATGCATTTTGAAAATATGATTATTTAAAGAAAATCAAATGCAAATAATTAATAATAAACTATGCCATGATTGTTTGGAGTGCAGAAATCGTACTTGGTTCTTACCAGTTTCATTTATATATAATTCACAAATATGCAGCACACATAAAGTTGATCAGTTTAAGTTAAAACTGTATAATCCAAATGAATGGAAATTAATATTTTTTGAGTCTATCCAGACGAACCTCACCTGTTCAAAAGACTTCAGGCCACTTTCTTTACCCAATTTGACAATATCCTCCAGAATGGCTTTCTTCACCTCCTGAAAACATAAAGACACATTATTTACTCTCAAACTTTGTGATTAGTTAGATATTTGCATTTTATTCAAGACCCAAATATACCTATGCATGCAACTCTCTGACAAGTGTGGAAGTGAATAAAAATGCACACGGAAGATCTGTCTTTACCTTATTTTTGCACAGTTCTTCATACGAGCCCTCTATGCCTCTCTTCTTGGCCCAGCCGGGCAGAAAGTCTGGATCTGGCACAATGATGGCTACCAGACAGGCCTGTGGAGAAAATGAGAGAACAATAAATAATAAAGACTTGTTCTGTAATGCCTCCACTTGTGTGTTGTTCTCACTCCTCACCTGCAGACTGTCTCCATGTACGAAAGCCTGCGCCACAGCTTCACTCCTGATGTAAATGTTCTCGATCTTCTCTGGAGCGATGTATTCACCCTGAGCCAGCTTAAAAATGTGCTTCTTACGGTCCACAATCTTTAGAGTGCCATTCTGCAAAACAAAATGGTGTGGTGGTTAAGTATATATGTATATACAGATTTACTGGCATCATTTGTCTTCATGCAATATAAATTTGCCAGGTTTCAATTTGATTCTTTCACTAATAACTGAAAAATATCAATTAAAAGAACTATCAAAATATTTCCAAATAGTCAATTTAAATAATGGCATATTTTACATGAATTAAACCTGTTCTGCTAAAAGAACCAGAAGCTAAATAGTTATTTAAAATATGAACATTCATGAACATACACTTATGTTAGAAAATTAGTTCATTTTTACAATTATGCTCATCAAAAATTAGCAGTATGCAAACAATTTTTGTCAGTGATTGGGTGTTTGTTTGTTTTAGTGAAGTGGGGTGTTTTATTTTAAATACACTACTATTCAAATGTTTGGGCTCAGTAAAATTGTATTTTAAGAAATTAATACTTTTATTCATCAAGGGCGCAATAAATTGATTGACATTAAAAACGTTACAAAAGAATTCCATTTCAAATACATGCTGTTTCCATGAAAATATTAAGCAGGAAAACGTTTTCAGCATTGATAATAAGAAATGTTTCTTGAGCAACAAATCAGCAAATTATTAATTCTGAAGGATCATGTGACACTGAAGACTGGAGGATTGATGCTGAAAATTCAGCTTTGATCACAATAATAAATTACACTTTTAAATATGTTCAAATTGTACAGTTATTTTAAATTGTAAAAATATTTCATATTATTACTGTTTTTACTGTATTTCTGATCAAATAAATGCAGCCTTGGTGAGTAGAAGAGACTAAAAACATTTTTAAAAAAACTCAAACTTGAGTAGTTTTAATTCCACATGTACACATTTAATTAGCTGTAATAGTGTATCTAAATTCTTCATTTTCTAAATGAGAATAAAATGTGCCTGTGATCTTCTATTAAACCACTCTTACCGGCAGCCACCTGCCAATGTCTCCTGTGTGAACCCAACCATCTTCACCAAGAGCCTCCTTCGTCTTCTCAGGGTCTTTCAGATACCCCTTAAAAACATTAGGACCCCTCACACACACCTGCCAGAAACAACACACAACACACCTGTCAAATCAAATATGTGAAAGACCACATGCAAACACACAACTAATAACACACACACACACACATCAAGGTTATTCCTGTTAAAGCAGCACTACGTAACTTTTTCTGTGTTCAAAATTTGCAAAATGTATATAATGAGCGAGTACATCATGAATTAATCTTCCAAACCGCGTTTTTGTCTTATTCCGAATCACTACGCTACACTTATAATAAGTACTTATATTTGGACTATTGTAGCCTGGTCGGGTCGTCACCGCTGCGGAGTAACACATACCTGCGTGAATCGCCAGAGACATAAACTTAGAGAAGTAGCTCCGGTTGGAATGTTCGTCCGCGGGATGTGTGCAGTTCTGTTTATTAACCGCTAGAGCACCAAAAGTTACATAGTGCTGCTTTAACTCGAGCTAAAACCATGAAAAAAATCATTTTATTTTTTGAAACAAAATAAACCTTAACTGAAATAAATACATTTCAGTTACTAATTTTTTTGGATAATTAATTTTGTACATTTACATTACTATTTGTTTTGTTTAATTTTAAGTACTAAAATAACTAAAACTAAGTAAACTTAAATAAATAAAAAAAATAATAAAAACTAGATATATTAAAAAAATTAAAAAATTGAAATATATTTAAAAATAAATAAATAAATCACAAAAACTTTCAAATTATTGTGAAAACAGGAAAAATAAAAGAACTCAAAATATTAACAAAAGCTAATGTGTCTCTTTTTTTTTTTAAAGCATTAACAAAAAAAAACTTCATACAACTGCAACATTTTTAATTTATTTCTTCACATTACCTCGTTCCACCACAATAAATTAAAATTTATTTAAAAATGTATTTTAAAAAAATATTTATTTACTGTATACTTAATATACAAATTAAGTAAATACAGTAGGCCTATATTTATATTACAGTATAACGTTTACATTTTCAAATACATATTCATATCAAAAATTGATTTTTTTATTATCCTTATCATTTAAAGAATAAATAAATAAATAAATACAATTGAAACATATATATTAGTGCAAACGATCAATCGCATCCAAAATAAGTTTTTGTTTACATAATATGTGTGTACTGTGTATATTTATTATGCATATACAGTATAAACACACACACATACAGTATATATATTGAAAATATTTACATGTATATACATTTATATATTTATATTCTTATATTTTAGATTATATATAAACATATTTAATATATAAACATAAAATTTTTCTTAAACATATACATGCATGTTTTAGTATTTATATATATGCATAATAAATATACACAGTACACACACATACAGTGGGTACGGAAAGTAAGAAATAGAAATAAAAATTACAATCTTAATCGATACATTAATGGTCCGTACGTATAATAATATGACTACATAAAATCACTACAATAGTATCTCATTTATATTAAAACAACACAAACACACACACCTCTCCCTCGCCTTTAGCGGCATAATAGTTCATCTCTCCCACATCCACTAGTTTGATGTCATTACAGGGCAGAGGAGCTCCAACATGACCTGCAACGACACCATAAAACAGTCAGCATAAACATGCAACTGTGTTAACTGCACATGCATCTGTGTGTGTGTGTGTGTGTGTGTGTGTGTGTGTGTTACCCGCAGTCCAGTCTCCTGGTAGTGTAATTGTGCTGCCGGCAGTGCATTCAGTCTGACCGTATCCTTCATAAAACTGCAAGGAAACAACATTTACTTCACAACCAGCAGTATAAGATATGGTGGAATGAGTCTAAATGCAAGTGTTTAAGTGATCAAACTGTACATGGCAGCCCAATGCAGCTCGCAGGAAGGTGAGAACAGGAGCTGAAACGGGAGCCGCTCCAGTTATCATCAATCGAACGTGTCCTCCAACACTGGCCTACAGGGGGCAGCACAGACCCATTACTACACTAAACACTACAACTCTTTCTACTTTAGTCAGCACAGAAGACACAGCAAGCACATTCTCAGGTCAATAATCACCTGGACTTTCTTGAAGATGATCTTGTCCCACACACTGTCTCTCCTCATGATGCCGCTCTTCATCTCGTTCTCTTTCCTCCTGAACGCAAACTCCAGGATGCGTCTCTTCAGGGGACTGTGGGCCTGTCCGTAGATCTACGAGAGGGTTTCACTACATTACTACTGCTAGAGCATCTAACACGTAAAAAACACTACGAAGGGAAAGACATGAATGAGGGGATATATCACCGATCATACAGTAATACAGTTATGAAGGCATGCTTTACTGAGGCATATGATCAGTTAAGTATTAGTACTACTACTACCACTACTACAAATAATGATAAATTAATAATAATATTCAAAATAAGTTGTATTTTAAATCAATGAACTATATTACTATTTTTCTAGAACTACTATTGCACTATAAAATAAAATAAAAAATACTTAAATAATAATAATAATAATTTACATTTAGTAATTTAGCAGACGCTTTTATCCAAAGCGACTTACAAATGAGGACAATTAAAGCAGTCAAAACTAACAAAAGACCAACAATATATAAGTGCAAATGACAAGCCACGCAGTACACGTAGCAAGGTTTTTTTTTTTTATTATTGAAACTTTTTT